CTCTGATTATGCTTGGGCTATTCAGCCATAACCCTAGCATCCCAGGTAGATTTGAGAGAGCTAAAAATATTTATCTGATGCCCAGAAGTATAGAAAGCAAATAGACATGGCTTCTATCCCGATTATCCATTCTAAGATGATAGAGATGGAAGGAAATGGGAGGACAAGGTTAACATTAATAAGAGTAAGGAGGCATGGAGTGCAGTATTCTCAGTCAGCTGATGACACTGTATGTCCGTCTCATCTGACTTGGACAAGGTGGTTCAGTGCCTCAGCCAGTGTATAGATGAGAACAAGCTGGCTGAAGCTCAGCCCAGACAAGATTGAGGTGAGGGTGGTGTGGAGCAAGCAGCTGGAGATGGCAGATACAATATCAGTTCCTTTGAGTGTGTACATCCACCATTAGTTACTAGGGATTTCAAGTTAGGGGTTACTTTAGATCCCTCCCTGCCTTTGACAATCTTTACAGCAGTAACCCAATCATCCTACCACCAGCTGCATCTGGGTAAGAGACTGTGATCTTTTAGTTGCAAACAGTGCCACTTGTTACCTCAAGATTAATCTACTGAAATGTGCTCTCCCTTAAAACTATTCAGAGACTACAGCTGGTGCAGAATACAGCTGCTCACTTATTGAGAATGGGGCACCTTGCTGGGAGCACATGACACCAGTGCTCTGGCCGCCTATGGATCTCTAGGGAGAGTTTAAGTTGTTGGTTATGACCTATTGTGACAGAATACACCCCTGTATTCACCCTATAGTCTATTGCAATAATCTTTGTACAAAGTATGCCTCATAAGGAATCACTTAAACTCATAATTTGCTGGTCAGTATTGCTGGTAAAGCTTGTGGCAACACTGCATGTGAAGTTATAAGATTCCCCTCTATGTTAACAACATGTTCCAAACCTCACAGCCCTGCCCGAACTGAAGTTGGCAAACAGGTCTGTCATAAACAAAGGGGGGTGTGCTTTGCTTAATTTGCATTTAAGCAGTAAATAGAGTCACCAAGCAGGAAGGGAGGGCAAAGGAAGCTAAAACAGCTAAGAAAAAGACAGCAGGGAACATCCTTCCACATGGACTTTTTGTCTCCTAATGCACAGGTGAAAACGTTTTTTCAAGAGGGGTACTGAAACTATAAAAAGGAGGAACACTCCACGGGACCCTTCTCTCTCTCCCCCTGCCCATCACATTCACTGCATCTGAAGAGACAAAGGAAGGATTCATTGGACTTAAGGGAGGAGTCCTGCCCTGAGAGTTTGCTCAGTAATCTGCTGGAGCATGTGGTTATTTTTCTTATAACCATTTCTGACTTTAATGCCTCATTATTTGTACTCCCTTAAAATCTCTTTGTAGTTAATAAACTTGTTTTACTGTTTTATCTAATCCAATGTGTTTATCTCAAATAGTTATTCAGACACTTCAATTTAAACTGGCATATTATTCCCTGAAAGGAATAACAAACTTAAAATATTTGTACGGTTTAGGAGAGGGCTGGGCAGTAACAGGACATATATTTCTGGGGGACATCGGGGACTGGGGACTGCAATATAACCAAGGCTAGTAAGAGCCAGTTAGTAAGAGCTAGTAAGAGCTGCAGCCTGCCAGCCCAAGTGTGGCTGGCAGGCTGCAGTTACACAGAGACACTGAGGGTGTGGTTTGCATGCTGGAAAACTGTTTGTGACCAGCCCAGATGGGAGCTACTTGAGCAAGGCATTGTAAGGCGTGGGTGACACAGACCCCACTGGTCTGGACTATACGCTGGTATGTTACAGCTATAAAGCCCTCAATGGCATCCCCTCCCTGTATCATATCGCCACAGATGCAATCAGAAAGGACACCTTAGTTGGATCACCTGCCTAAAAGAGTGGAGCTGCCAGCATGTTCTCTTTGTATGCTCAAGACTCTTGAACTGCTCCCCAACTTGTCTGAAATAACAGAATTTGGTGACCACATGGACATTCTGCAAAAGCCATCTGTAAAGTGTTTTGTTTTTATTTTTTTCCAGGGAGGGCTGAGGGTATGCTTCCCATAATGAATGAAAGAGATTCTGTAGGTGCCTGAATGGCTGAGTTTCTATTAAATGATTAATGCTAGTGAGATTTTATTTATCTTGTAATGATGTTAGGGCATGCAGAGTCTTGGATAGGTGTCTATCTTAATGAAAAATGACAAGTTATTCAACTGTAACAGGAGTTTGAGTAGCTTCAGTATAGATCCATGTGGCTGGACCCAATCCAGAACCTTCTAGAAAGCTTTGACTGCTGGGGACTGTGCCAACTTTGCCTGAAGTCACAGAATTCTCCAAGTAAGGTTGGGGCTGTGGCTCATTACATCCTCAGTTTCTTCCACATATCACAATCTAATATACATTCCCAAGAAGGGGGGATGGAGGTTGTGGATCTGTATTTACAGTCGTCCCTTATGAAATCAAGTTACATGTCAATTTTTCTCTCTCGAAACATTGTCATTACTGATCTGCTGCAGCCAGTTGACTTTACAGCAGCCCTATGGCACACCTCAGCAGCCAAATCAGCCATTTAACCTTTGGCACCGGGGATATGATTCCTGTCAGTGGCAAGGACTCCCTGGAACAGCACCATTACCTCTAGATCCTTTTTTTTTTTTTTTTTTTTTAAATATAGTACAAGCAAGGAGGATTAATAATTTATGGCGTAGTGGTGCTTCCTCTCTGTCCCCAGCTATTGAAAAAGAATAGCATAGAACAAAGGTAACAAGTTCTTTGGCTTTAGACTTAAAGACCTCTAGAGTCAGTATGGTGTAAAGAAACCGGAACAGGTTCTGACTCTTGGTCTACCCAGGATGCTCTCAGGGCCTCCAGGCAAAACTGATTCAGTTACATACATTTCACCAAGCATCAACTAGGCACTTCACATTTCCAAATGGGACTAAAAATTACCTAATGCTAAAAAAATTAGCTGCTTCCAACAGTTATCTTGAATTGGGGGTAAGAGAAAATGGCTATGGAGCTATCATAACGGACCTCAGGAAGTTCCAGCTGGAAGGAAGTGAAGGGTCACTTCTACTTATACAGTCTCACATGGAGCACTGCATGGCTCAAGGCAGGTTCCATATGACCCCAAAACAGGTTTCTAGAGAATTCTGGATTTGGTGTGGAGTGTGCAGGCAAATTCTCAAGAATGAAGCGTTACTGACAATACTCAGAGAATGTTGTTACACTGAGAGGTTGTATATGCTTTATAGTTATTGAATTACCCCAATTAGTAAGTTTTATGTTTGTTTTTAATGGGAGGAGAGAGGTGTGTGGCGAGTAGGAGTGTAAAAGGGCAGAAAATGCAGAGGAGGTAAGATTGCAGGAGTTGAAAGGAAGGAGAAGATAGATGGGCTGAGGGCAATGAACAGTACATTGCTTTTTAAGGCATTCCACACTATCAGCAGTGTAGCCAGAATGCATCAGTCCTGGAAAAGCGCACACTGGGCCCCTCCAGGAGCACACACCCCAAAATCTCTTAATCTTCCCCAAATGGGGTGTGTCTCTTATATCCTCCCTTCTCCCAAGTTACAATACAACCAGTCAGCCCCAGCAACTGTAGGTTAAAACCTAGTTTTCTGAAAATCTTACGTCCTCTGCTTGTATTCTCTGTTCTCACACAAATGGTAACTTAGATTTGGTAAACTAAAACATTTCTTAAACTTCATGGGGAATATCAGAAACCTCCTTTAACCATTCAGAAAATAAATCTCCTGTCTTATGTCCATTTTTCAGTAAATTAGATTACATTAATTTGTTCTGCCCTTAAGTACATCTTGCTAGAGAAATATCCTTGAGGAAAGAAGAGCTCTAGTTTGAGGTGGCACATGCATGCATATTTTTCAAAGGGGCAAGGCAGGAGAAATTTGAAGTCCCTCTAAAAATTTAAGTGAGGATAGGTACTAAGCTCAAGTCATCTGCAAACAGCAGAACCTTGTCTCTGACCTTGTTATTGACCATTCAAATAATTCTGCCTGTGTCCAACGAACAGAAGCACTGGTAATTGACACTTCTCACTTATGGACTTGTAATGGGGTTGTGCACTTGCAAATAGCAAGTGCTGTAGCAACTCTTCAATCTCTCATAATCAGAACAAGTTCACCAACATCTTTCATTCTACTTTAGTATCAAAGTTTTAGGCTAAGTATAAAACTGAATAATAGATTTTGTACTTTCAGCTGAAGGAAAAAGTTAAAAACAAAACCTGAAAACCCCTTACGCAGGCCAGTTGCTTAGATCTTCATGCATCTAGCATCTGGCTGTTCAGTTTTTTTACAGTAACACAAAATTACATTTACAGAAAAACTGCTGATTTATAACGTAAACTGAATTAGGAACACAGGGAACAAAAACTTGAGAAATAACACATTAAAGTATCTTTCTCAGAATGCTTTCCGTCTTGAATCTGATGTTGCTTTGGTTTCACATCATATACAAGTTTTCACTAAGATAATATTTTTTTATCTTTATACATCTGATTTTCCTCTGACCCACTATTCTTCCTATTGCAATTAATTATTGAATGTCTGCTTGAATCAGACAGGACAAAGTGTAAGCTTCACACCATTGGTCCAGCTTCCATTCTATGAAGAGAAGGGGTCTGCATTTTGCTGTGTACACATAAAGAACGCATAAAGAACCATAGTTTGGCTTTACTAGTCAGTGTCTAATATGTAAAAATTTAAGATTCTGGTGAAGCAGAGATCTAAACATAGATCAGTAAAGGAGATGCCTTTTTAAAAAAACTGCTGTTTTATATTTCAATTAAGTTTAGAAAACTATACAAACTACAAAAATGAAATAAGATACTCAAATTAGTGTAGATTAATTGGTGACCATTATTGCAAGGGAAATACTGTCACCAAAATAGCTTTGTTTTCTTGTAAAAATGATAAAAACACAAAAGTCAATAAAACTGCTAAAATAAGTCTCTGTAATTACCAAGATCAAAATACAGTGGCTTTTTATTAAACATGAACTTTTGTTCTGCCTTCTGCAATACGTAAATAGTGCTGACAATTGGTTTGTGAGCCACTTGCTACAATAAAATGTAATTGTATCGTGAGAGAAAGGTGACAATCAGGAGATCATGAAAAAATTACATATTCTCACTGGTAGTTAATTAGCCATGCAAAACCCCCTCAAACAGATATTCTCGTCTATTAGGAATGATTACTATGCAGGCCTACAGATGTCAATACCACAGTCATTCAAATACTTCTTTCCCTACTAATTGAAGGTTGTAAAGCTCTGGTGCCAAGGTTTTGCTTCCAAAGAGCTAATTTATGACTAGAAGGATATTTTATGTCTTCAGTTGCAGCAGCTACAAAACTCAGCAAATCAGAACCATCTGTGCACTGATACTTGAATCACCATTCATCTAGCAGCCTATCAGTCACATTAGTTTGCATCCTGCATTCTTGGCTCATGTACACTTCTGATGGTCCAAAGTTCACAAGAAATATTAAAAATGAATGATACCCTGACCCTGCCTTATTGCACACGCATCAAAGAAGAAATAGGGCTTTTGCATATGGGTAGTTTGAAGGCAGAGATATCGTGGGGCTGACATTTCATATCAGGTCCAGTAAGGCTTCTAATTACATCAATCTAAATTTATTAAACTTAAAGGTTTTATTAAATGTAGAATTTCAGACTTAAAATACAGGGGGGAAATAAATAACATGATAGCTGTCATCTTTAAATCTGTGTGCTAAAAAAGCACTATGCAGCACTACATACAAATAAACTACTTAAATCCAAGGATGAAATATCCCCTTCAGATTGGTAGCTGTAGGAATGCAATGACAAAGGACAAAAAAAAATGGAAGGACAGAAAATGAATTAAGTGCTTTCACTGATCAAGACAACTTTGCTTTTAATCTGGCCAGAAAGAAAAACCTGGCATTCAAGCTTGTCTTCAAGATGTTAGTGAACAAAGTCCTTGACTTCCCCATTATCCTGAAAGTAAATGATTCTCCACAGACATACTACTTTGAAGTGAGAGGCTGTAGGTCAAAAGGACTCATGACAGTTTTTCCTCCTTAAGGGCTGACATCCCACTTTTTAGCAAAGCCGGGGGAAACAGGAATTACCAAATGTGATGTATTTAAAGCAAAACAATTGCTGTGTCAGTCTCATTTTGAGAGCTTAAACTACTTCATCTTGTGCAAAAGAAAAAAACAATCATCAAACAGGTTTCACAAAATAATCCCTGAACTGCAAGGGATTGTGTTACTTACTTTCAGATCTTTAGAAGCACACAGATTTAGTGCACACCCAGCAGTGGAAAATTCCAGAGGGCCATCGTAAAAAGTTCCACTTGATTTGAGTCCATCCACCAGGATTTTCTTTAGCACTTGATACTTTGGCTTTTCCTCATAAGTTAAACCATAAACACATGCCAAAAACTTAGCTATTTCACCTGTGGAGTACATTTTAAAAGTGAATTTTATTTGATGTGGACCCTACAACTTTGAAAAAGTTTTAAATCCAAGATGACAAAAATCATTGGAATGACAACCAAGATATAACAGAACCAAAAGGCAATAGCCACAACAAAGAACTATCAAAATACAAAGATTTTTTCTTCTTGGGATGGGAAAAGGAAAGAATAGACTTTGATAAACTTGCCATCCCCTATGCTGTTCATTATGTTACAATTGTTGCACAAAACCACACTAACTAGCATTAAAAAACTACTCCTAAAGTGTCTCTTTTTAGTCCAAAGAGTCTGATAATTTGGCAACTAGAAGGATTTTCTTGATATTTGGATCATAAGGATTTTCTATAAGGATTTTCTTGATATTTGGCCCTTTAAAATGCTGTTGCTATGTATACTGAATGCTGATTTGCAGACATTTTATAATTTGAACACCTACTGGGAAAGTAAAATACTTTGATTTACAGGGTCTTGACAATCCCCGTGTTATGCAAATATCCTGTAAGTCACTAGACAGTGGTTGATTTTGTTGGAAATAGGTCTTAATATTTTACCAACACCACCATCACCAGCTAATATCTCTGGAGGTGTTAAGATGCCTTCAGGAGTGTGAGAATACTACAGTTGGGTATGTATAAAAAACTTTTCTTGCAGTTATTTTAGTGTAATCCTAAAACTAAACTGCAGTATGTATTGACATTCATCTCTTCTGATCCCCAAGGTAAAAGATGTTAAAACAGATCCACTGAGTGTGTACTACACTGTAGGAGGAGGAGAAGGGAAAGCAAAGTTTTAAAGTGAAGTATTTTATACTCCACAATTTCAATGTCATATAATACACATTAAGTTTGGGAATTCTGTGGGGGAAAGAACAGTATGAGCAAATGCCTCATAACCACCCCACCCTACCATGCCCCGCAAAGGCCATTGTTTGCCCTATACCGAGAGCTTCCTGTTGGGTTACCTTTACACTGTTTCTGTGAAGAAAATACAGAACTAGCCAAGACACACATTCATTAGCTGCTTCAAACTCATAAAATACTAAGCAATAAAACCTTTTGTAGACCCGCTGCTTACATTTCCATACTAACAGTAGCCATATTCCTTAACACATTCACTGCTTCCTAACAACCTGGATTGCATGTGGCTAAGATGTCACAGGCAATTACTAGGCACAAGTCTGTCATACAGGAATAGAATTCCTATTTGGTAATTTCCTTTATTAAAGTCAAAAAATTAAGTTCATAGCATTTACACGAAGAAACTGGTTCCAGGAGGACCTAGTGCTAGCAGTTTGCTTTTGCAGAATTCTCATAGAGGTTAGAATAGATTTGACAATCAGAGGTATTTGTCTTTGTAGCCTAAACAAAAGATTTCATGTTGAACTCAACAGGTCTAATGGCCTGATTTGTAGCTGGGACTCAATGTGGCCTACAATTTTGCGACTACAATGGATTGTGCATCAATAAGTTCCAGGTGGAATTGGTAGCACTCAGATGTGTACCTACCTGGCTTGCATTGCAAAGGAGTTAGATCTAGGTCTCTGTGCTACCAGGTGCACCCAAAAAATGGCAGGACATAGATAATAAGGGCTTGATTTTCAGCAAAGTCATCTACTTGATTTTTGTTTTATGGATAATGAGGGAAGGAAACGGGAACATATTTTAAACCATTCCATCATTTGTAAAGCTATGTTTTAGTCTTATATTTCTGTCACGTTAACATAAAGCAAGAAAATCTTCCTGTCGAAGCAGGACATCTACAACAACGCTAGAGGCTAACTTGGTCATAATTCTAGGATTGTCCAGTAGGAGTGCACAAATGCAGTAGAACTTCTCCTCACTATCTCACTTTTTACATAATCCTGTAAAAATTGTAGCTTGCAGGTTTGCTTATCTGTAAATTAAGGACCTGATCTCGCATTAAGGTTGAATTCAATGGGTGTTGGAGAATATCCTGTTAGTACAGTATACACTAGAATACAGAGAATTGTAAAGAAATAAGACAATTGTTTAATACTGATTGTTACCAACTAAAGAATCAAAACCCTAGAATAGATGCACCTTGAAATGTAGTGGGTCTGATTCTTCTTTCAGTTATACCGCTGTAAAGCAAGAGTAACTCTGCTGAACTATTAGAGTTACACTGACACCAGGGAGAGGAAAATCAGTCTCAATGCACGCAACTCCACTATGTTTACCAAGCACATGCATTTTTAGCTCTAATTGTACTATTATTTATATATTAAATAAAGCACATTACACTCTCAGTAATATGGGTTTTTTGTACTTTTACTGCAGTAACTGCAAAGAGCATGCAGGTGAAAGTTTGCTAAGAGCACAAATCCTAAATTTCTCTACAGACAAAATGTTATACTTACAATGAAACATTAAGAAATGTAGATGCAAAAGAAACACGCATAAATGCATATACTTTGAACTTAAAACGTGTTTGGTTTCTAAACCTTTAAAGAAAGGGCCAGAGAAGTGGAGTGAGAAAGCAAATAAGCACCAGACACTGCAACAGAAGCACTGGTAGCATTACCCTCAGAAAAAGCTAAGAAAAAAAGAGAGCTTTTGGGTTAAGTGCTGGTGAAAGAGGCTTGAAACTGTGAACACAGAAAATACACCCTGTTTGATTCCTCCTGTGTTCCAGGAAACAGAACTATATACATTCTTGTAAAACAGGAATAACATCAAAGAAATAATGGACTCTCATCAATTTCTCCCCCTAATGGAAACAATATTCAGACCCTGAATTTTGGCTAAGTGCATAGCTCAGGATGTTCCAGTGGTTAAAGCACTAGCCTAGGACTTCAAATACCTGGGTTTAATTCCCTGTTCTGCCAGAGACTTGTGTGTGTGACAGGCCCAGATCCACAAAGATGTTTAGGCTCCTAACTTCCATTTATTTCAGGAATAGGTCAGGGCAGGAATGAAGAATGGAGTTGGAACGAGGCTGGAGCAGGCACAGGCTGGGGCTGAAAACAGTCTATCAGAACTACTAAGCAGCAAGGGATACTCTTGGCGAGATAGTGACATTGAACAAGTGTAGTGGCTGCTCTCAGTGGGAGCTTATATACCTAGCTTTGGGGTCACGTGATTAGACCTGTGCCTGTGGACTGGCTGAGCTCTGGTTGATTGACGTGGAGCCCTCAGGTAATATCAGGCTCAGGAATGACTCATCAGGCACAGCAACACTTATCAGGCCCGGAGATTATTGATTACATTACTCCCCCTGCCCAAAAAGATGCCTATCAGAGATCTTCTGACCAGGCTTATTGGTGTGCAACTGATGGAATTCTCGAAGCTGATTGGGTGCATGTATTTTTTCAGCTGGCTCCCACAAATGATCAGCTGGACCATAACCCTCCCAATCAACAAGGTACATGAACTTTCCTTGGAGAATTTTGGCATCCAGGATCTGCATGGAACCATAGGGTTAGAAGAGTAGTTCTTTGTCACAGATTTCATAGTTTTGTTCTATGGGCATCGGTTGCCGAGAATAAAATGCACAAGGTTGGAGCATGTATTGGGGACCATGCTGCTGTGACAACACTGCTCTGATCGCATAATCAGAGGCATCCACTTTGACAATGAAGTGGCCAACACTGAAGTGCCGATGTAAATGCTTCCTTTAATAGATCAAAGGCAGGTTAGGCTTCCTGTGTCCAAGTAAATGTGGTGTTCTTCCAGAGCAGTTGGGTAATTGGGTTCACCATCTTCAAAAAGTCCTTGAATTAATCTTCAGTTAAAAACTGTCAAACCCCAGGAAGCACTGGACATTGTGGTCGTTCCTTGGGGCTGTCTAGTCTACAATCTCTGGGGGTCCATATCTATTTCATCAGAAGGGCGATCAAATTCACACTTCTCAGGTTTTCCATACAGGCCACTTGCTTGGAGGCGCTCAAATATCAGACAATCAGGAAGGTTTTGACTTGAGATGAGGACATCTCCTCAGTGGATTGCCATGAACTAGTCTAAAACGTCCCTGAAAATGTCATCGACAAAGTGCTGGAATGTGACTGGGGTAGTGGAGAGAACAACAGGCATAACCAGATATTCAGAATGGCAATATGGACTGCAAAATGCGGTTTTCCTCCCAAATAAGGACTAACTGTAAACCCCATGAAGATCAAGCTTGGTAAATACCTTGGCAGAACCGATCCTTTCCAACAGCTCATTGATAAAAAGGCAAAACATACAAGATTCTGTTCAAGGCACACAAACAAAATCGGGTCCTAGTGGGAGATGTGGATGGATGGATGAAGATTTTGCAGGACTGTCATAAAGGCATTCTTGTAGGGCTTTGAGTTCTGAGTCTGATAAGGAATAAATCCAACCAAATGGAATTTTAGTTCTTAGTTTGAGACCAACGGAGCAATTGTTGGGTCTATGCAGGTGTAAAATATCAGCAAATTCTTGATATTTTGCAGAGATTAATAATCTGCTGGGCACAAAAGGCAGTGGACTTCTCAGTGCTGGTCCTTGTTTCCTTGGCCTCTGATTTAACTAGACACAACTGTTGGTAGTAGATCAACTCAAATTGTACCTCAAGCATCTTCCATAAGATGTGTGGATCATGCCTTGAGAGCCAGGGAAGACTGAGCATGATCAGAAAGTTTGCTGACTGCAGAGTCTCTAGAAAATCTTGGATTTCAACCTGGAGGGGCATGATTTCACAGGACAGCATGCTACCATTGATCATTTACACTAGATTGGGGGTGCACTTCCTGTGCATTGGAACTTTAGCAAATTCAGCATCCATTAAATTGCTAGCAGCAACACAATCCACTTGCACAAGCTGGGTGTAGTTTGCCTCATGTACAGTTGAGACTCTCTAGGTGCAGTGGACAACAGTCTGAGGCTGCCAGGATACATGTGGGCAGAAGAGGGGGCATCGTTGGAGAACTCAACTCCAAGGAGCTGGAGCAGTCTGTCAGAACTACCAAGTGGCAGGGGATGCTCCCAGTGAGGTAACAATGCTGAGCAGACTGGAATAGCTACTCTCACTGGGAGCTTATATCCTAAGTGTTAGGGTCATCTGGTTAGACCTGTGCCTGTGGATTGGCTGAATCCTGGTTGATTAACATGGAGCCCTCAGGTAATCAGGCTAAGGGGGCTCAGAGAGCACTCATCAGGCACTCATAGATAACTTATTACACTGAATACCTTTGTGGATCTTGGCCTCTGTCTCTTGGGCCCAGATCCACAAAAGGACTTAGATGTTGTAGTGCTGACTGACCCAGCATCTAACTTCTAAATCCCTGGAAAATCACAGTAGCATCATTGTGATCCAGAAATCCTGAGTCAGGCACCTAGGCTACTATACAATAAATGGGGAAAGACAGGTGCCTTTGAAAGCAATGCACAAAGCCAGCACACTAGGCAGGGAGCCACCTAAACTAGCCAATGGGAGGTGGAGACAAAAGGGGTATGTGCTAAGCTCTGCCCCCTCAAAGAATTTAGCACTTAAGTCTGGGCTGCAGGGAGGTATCTATCTCTTCTTAGCAATCCACTAATTGATGGAAGATAGATGTTCTTCCGCCTAAGTGACATGTGGGTCCCAATCAAGTAGGCGTGCTTCAAGGCAACCTACCGGACTGGGCCCCTCAGTCAAGCTCTCACAGCTGGGGACAGACCTCCCTTATAACCCAGCAGCTAGGGTACTCACACAGAATGTGGGAAACTCCCAGTTCCAGTCCCCCCTTCTCATCAGGGGAAGAAGGGATTTGAACAGGGATCTGCCACCATTCAAGTGAATGCCCCTGCCACTAGGCTACAGAATTATTCTAATTCTCTGACCCAAAAATATTTATTCAACTATTTAATTGAAATAGAACAACTTCACTAGAAGAATTGAGAGAGCCCCACAGCAGAATATTCCATAGCCTAGTGGTTAAAACATTCATCTGAGATGGAACTTAAGCCCCATTTTTAGGAGCCTAGGTACCTTCGTGGATCACACCCATCTGTAAAAACAGAGATAATAGCATGTCTTTACCTCACAGGGCTGCTGTGAGGATAAACAGATTAAAGATTGTGAGGTGCTCCATGCTGCTCGGTGATGGGGGCGATACAAGGGTGAGATTTTTTTTACCTTCTGCTACCAAAAAACATTTTTAGTACTGGCATGAAGATCCTGGTCATCTTTGCTCTGTAAGCAACGGGGACCCTAAACTGGGAGGTGCGGAAGGGATTAGCACCAATGCCACTGCATCATCTCCTCTCTGTGTCTGAATGGAAGTGCCTCCATTCGAGCTCTGGGGGGTATACAAGACAGGAGGAGCTGCTGTCCATAGCATTTTCATATCTCTACGCAGATGATCTATAGTATTATTAGGGTGTCAATCATTGTACCATCTACCTGTCAAATACAGTGTTAACATTAGCATAACATTTAATTTGAAGTGGACCCTGCTCTTGCCATCTTAAAAGGGATGAAATTCTTCACACATCTGGCAAGCACTGCCATCATGGAAGGCACCCCTTCTTTGGCCTCTTGCAAAGGGAACAGAACAGCACCTGTTACCTGGCTGCTCCACCTCCCAGGTCTCTAGGTATGGACAATTTAGCATGCACTAGGAGTGAAGAAATGGCAGCCAGCCTTGCATTTCATGGAAGGGGCCAGCCCCTGTCCATTTTGATTTCATATGGTTGGAGGTAGGGAGATTTGCAGTAGGGCAGAGGAAAGGGAGGGGAGACAGTGGAGGTAGCGGGTGGGGGGAAAAGGGGAAAGAGTGATGAGCAGAGAGAGGACTAAGAAGGGAAAGGAGGAAACAAAAATTGAGGATGAGCAAGAAATTGAGAGGTGGGGAAGAGCAGAATGGAGAGATTGAAAGAGTAGAGCGGGATGGAAAAAATGTATATGTGAAACACGACAAGGAAATGCAGGGGGAAGTAGGATCATAGGGTTAGAAGAGACCACAAGGGTCATCTAGTCTAACCTCCTGCCAAGATGCAGGATTTGTTGTGTCTAAACCGTCCAACCCAGTTCCAGCCTCCTTTTTGAAAGCCTCCACTGAAGAAGCTTCCACAACCTCCTGAGGCAGTCTGTTCCACTGTCCTGCTGTTCTTACAGTTACGAAGTTTTTCCTGAGATTTAATCTAAGTCATGAAAGACTAGGAACATTAATGACAACTATGGGAAAACTTTTTTTTAAAGTATCTCCTGAGTGGCTAGCTTGGGGGGTGGGGGAGGGGAAACACGGGCGAATGGACGCGGGCGCCGGCACGCGCACACGCGCGCACACACAGGAATGCTGTAAATTGAGGGGTGTCTGACAGCTATGAGCTACTCAGAAATACTGACTGGTCTGCTCTTGCTTACCAGTCTGATCCTGATGGTCAAACTCAAGCTCATTCTGATCTCTGGTCAAATATTTATGCTGAAGGCCCCAATCCTGCAAAGTTTAGTATGTGGGTATAATTTCAAAGAGGTACCACACAGGGGGACTGCTGGGCCCACACACTACAATTCACAGGATCAGGGCCATGAGGGGATAATGCTGCATTAAATCATGCTTGCCTTAGGGGGAGTGGAATTGGTCATTTAATTTAAAATATTAAATTTCAGGGTTCCTTTTTTTTAACTTTGTTCTTATTGTCTTTTTGCCCAAAAGTTATAAAAATATTTAAAAGCCTTATTCTAATAAACAGATTAAGACGGAATGATAAAATACACAGTATATGCTCTAATCACGCTTACAGCAACTGCTTCCAGCCAGACCCCACTTCATCACTGAATCTGGGAGCTCGTCCATCAGTCTGAAACAACACAAGAATGCAACAGGTGAAATGTGAATTTTTAGGAGGTGATCCTTCAGTTGGAATTCTGGATACGGTAAAACTTAATTCCAAAAGGAGGAGATCTCAAGGATAACTAACACTTAAAAAGACTCCTCTTCAAACAAAATCTCTACCTACCAGATACCTATTTTTAACCACCTAGAGACTGGGGAAGCATCTTCACTTCAAGCCTCTTTGCAGGGATTTATACATGTTCTGGGAGTAAATAAATATACCTTGGGATGAAATTTCTCACTTTGCTCTCACCCCGAAGATTAATTTTTGTGTTTTGAAAGTTGGGAACAGTTTTGTCTGGCTTTCTCTAATCATTTAGCACCAGATCCTTCCTAGCCCTAATGCAGGGAAGTAGGGACAACTGTGTGAGGACTGCCAGGATTACAGTTACAAGCATGGTGGGGGAGAGCAAGGACAGTGTCTCCAGTGCTCCCTAACCAAATGAGGGGCAAAGCTATGGCCCTGTCCCTTCTAAACGTAAACAGAGCTAACCCGGTGGAGGGGGAACGGCACCGAGACCTACACTAGATTATTAGGTTGGTTAATTAGGGCGGTCAGAGGTGTGAAAAATCCACATCTCTGAGCAGCATTATTAAGACAACCTAAATCCCCATGTAGACAGTGCTAGGTCAGCAGAAGTAGTCTTTCATTGGCCTAGCTATCACCTCTCGGGGAGGTTGATTACCTAGACCGATGACAGAACCCTTCCCATCGGCACAAGTAGTGTCTACACCAGGGGTGGGCAGAATTTTTGGCACGAGGGGTATGGAAATTGTATGGCGGGCCATGAATGCTCACGAAATTGAGGGTTGGTGTGGGGGCTGCGGCTGGGGGTGTGGGCTCTGGGGTGTGGGCTGGATACCTTACTCCTTCCCCCACCTCAAAGCAAGACAGGGCTTGTCTACACTTAAAATGCTACAGCGGCATAGCTGCATCTATGTAACGTTTCAGAGTAGACACTACGGGGATTCTCTGGTTGGTGTAGGTAATCCACCTTCCCGAGAGGTGGTAGCTACCTTGATAGAAGAATTCTTCAGTGAACTGAATGCTATCTACACAGCTGGAGCCCAGGGAAGTAACTAAAGAGGCTTAAGAAGCGGGCCCCCACCCCGCTTCCCAGGGCCAAAGCCGAAGCCCGAGCCACCTGGTGTCACTGCTTGCCCCTCTGCGCCCTCTTAGGGGGGGTTCACCCCACAGTTTGAAAACCTCTGTTTTAGTGTGATTTATTTTCATTTTTAGAGATTAAACTACTGTAACACTCAGATTACATTTCCCCACAGTGACTCGGTAGATATGATGTAATTTAGCTTTGTGGGGCCCCTGGCAACTGCCTTGCTTGCTACCCCCTACTGCTGGCCCTGCTACAAGGGACTTAATTAACTACGCCAACTGAGGGGTGTGAATTTTTCACACCGAACCAACATAGTTTAAACCAGGGCTAGGCAACCTGCAGCACGCAAGCTGATTTTCAGTGGCACTCACACTGCCCAGGTCCTGGCCACCGGTCCAGGGGGCTCTGCATTTTAATTTAATTTTAAATGAAGGTTCTTAAACATTTTAAAGACCTTATTTACTTTACATACAACAATAGTTTAATTATATATTATAGACTTATAGAAAGAGACTTTCTAAAACATTAAAATGTATTACTGGCACGTGAAACCTTAAATTCGAGTGAATAAATGAAGACTCGGCACACCACTTCTGAAAGGTTGCCGACCCCTGGTTTAAAATAATCTAATTTTCTACTGTAGACCAAGCCTGAGTCAATTTCTCCCCACTGCTCCTCCTGGGGTGGTGCTGCTATGCATTGCTCCTTGCTCTGGGTGAGCCACCAGCTCAGTCTAGCCCTTCATGTTTTAAAAGGATAGAGCTGCAGTTAAAAAAACATATTGCTGCGGGGGCTCAGTTCTCTTTTTAAAAAACAAAACAAAACACTTTCATTTAATTCTTAGGGGCCACAGCACCAAGCCCCAGTAACTGGTTTGTGGTGATAGATGGAGGGGGATCTCATCAGTGTAGCTGCATAGTCACTATTACAACAGCATCTACGGTCATAATGCACCCACATGGGAGAAGACGGGATTATCTGCATTGCAGCAGACTATAGTCCAGGGAGTTACCACAGAGTTGAGCCTTGTGGAACAGGTGCATGTCCCACTTGAAATTGCCCTTCTACCTCAAAATCCTGAATCTCCTTTGTTCGGAGAAACCACAAGGGACCTGCCAGAGCTTCAGGTGCAGGATTTGCCCCTAAATTCATAAAGGCAGAGTACAAGGGCTTTGCTCAGAGAATCTAAAAGAGGATAAACCCATCAGGTCCTCATCCAACCGGGTGGTTTTGTATGGAGGGGCTTCACATGAGCCATAACTACAGCTAGCGTTCTGCTATGATCCCTGTACAGCCATGGGATGGGCATGTGAATCTGTGAAGCACTGGATGAACTGGCTACATCATGCCCCAAGACCTACCCTCCACGCCAGTAGAGACTGACACTGCAGAGCAGAGTTCCACAGCATGCAGATGGGAGGGTCCCCATGGGGCCTGTCCTTTAAGGCTGTCAGTAGCTGCCATCACATTTAGAGGCAACCGGAGGTGGGATTTTCTTAGCCATCTCTTTACAAAACAGTACATGTTTAAAAAAAAAATGAACTTTCCAAACAGCATCCATCATTGTTTCATTCTCACCATGTAATGGACACAGCAGCAGTTTCAATGGGTGGCACATTAAAAGAGGAGAATTCAGGTCTGACTAGAAAGCATCAGAAATCAGAATTCCAGAACTAAATTAAGGAAAATTCTGTGTGTGTGTTTGTTTAAATGTCGTTAATTTCCCAAATCTTACACTTGGAAATTCTGTGATTTCTAGCTGAATTCCCTCAAGAGGCTGCCATGCCACAGTTTCCATTTGATTGTTAATTATTCTTTTATTTCAGTCACTTAGTATTTCACTCTTTTTTTTTAATTAGAGGTAGTGATTAGAAGATTTTTATATTACACTGGAGTTTTCCTTTTTGAAGTTTTCAGATGCTTTTATTTGTGATCTGGTAACTCAAGACCAGTTTAGTTTTTAAAAGTTCATAGTTTGGTGAAAAGCACAAGCCATGCCAAGGCTGAGTGACACTGGTAGAGAAAAAGGGAAGCTCAACAAGTGAGAGAGCACATCTCCCTTACCTATTTAAGTGGGCACACAGCGGCAAATCCAGCACCTGGCCTAAACAGTGGAGATAGGTGCTGGAGAGGAGAAATCCTTTCCCCCAGGCCACGGCATGGCTGCAGAGCAGCCCTGCAGAAGTCACCTGTTACTGGACTAGAGTATACAAGATGAAGCACTTACTTCTCCCCCCACCTTCACAACCATAACTCAGCTACCCCTACTTCCCTGCACTAGGGCTAACACTAGATTCTTCCTAAATGACTAGAGCAACGAGGCGAAGGGAAGACAATGGGATTATCTGTGCAGCAGCAGAGTCCCAAGCCCTGCCTCTGTGTCTTGTACTACTTTAACTGCACTCCCATATCCAGGTCCCCAAGCTCTGCTCTCAGCAGAACCACACTGGTTCCACTGCAAAGGGTCTCTGAGCAGAGAAGGGGGCTGGATTTGTCCATCGCATACCCATCAACTTGCATGTAACTGAATATCGACATGTACATACACCCATCTCCTCTGGTCTTCCACAACATTACAGGGGCATCAAAAACATTCAGACAATTAAGGGACCTATTAAGTTGTACCATAGTTTATGTATTTCCTCCTAATAAATTTTTTGGCTGCCAGTCTGGAAAATACCAGTGCTTGAAGGGTTAACTGTAAGAGAATTAGTGAAGCAGCTTGATCGATTAAATTGATTTAGCAGAATTGTTTATGTGTTAGTTTGGGTTCTGTACCGATCAGAACTTCTAAAGCAGAAATATTACACATAACATACGATGTCACCATTTACAGATGCAATCCGTATTATTCGCAGTCTGCAGGCTAACCTTTTTCTCTGCTAAGAGCCGATGTCATACTGAATTTGCAGATTGATTTCTGTGGCTCAGCTATCCCTATTGTGTACCTCTGTTGTGACTTGCCCTACTTAAAAGTTTGCGGCCTTCACCAATTGTGATGCTACATCTATGGAAAACTACTGTTCAGCAGCATATCCTTGTACTGAAGAACAGGCTATATTGTACCACATGCAATTAACTCTCTCAAGTCCCATCAGTGAGAGCACTGAAAAAATGGTAATAAACTCTGTTGCTTTAATATTATCTAATGAGCTATTCGGGGGCGGGAAGGGGAAGACAGATTCGAACACAAAGTTTTTTACTTGGTATTTTAAATGTTTATATAACATTGAAACCCGAAACCAAAAGATTTAATTCTTTAAAAAAAAAATCTACATAACTGAAAGCAAAAGAAATAGAATGAAACAATACATGAAAAATAAGGACAGCTTGCTTAAATTTTCATCTCTGTCTCTGTGAAGCAGTTACATAGTTCATTCTACAAAATCATTCTGAATGTGCAGCAAGCATACCAGCACACAGGATTTGCAAATGCAACTTCTTAAAAAATTAAGAGAATTCAAAAATCTGAGAAATTGTTCTGCATCACACATTTGTGTACATTAAATCTCCACAGCTGCATGCACATAAATGTATGAAGGAGATATATGCACACTCCCAGAGTTCACATCTTTTAAATACTTCTAACACACCTTTAATTAAGGGGAAATTTTTTAGCTTTCAGGTAAGGCAATATTCTACAGGATGTGAGCTTCTTTTGAAGTTCACTTTCAGATCTGTTTTGGTAAATGATGGAGTATTTGAAATTATTATTATTTACTTTATTTTAGCAGTCTGGACAGATACAGGGTCCTTCAGGTTCTGTTCCCAGGGTAGTTTCCCACATAACCACTGTAGCATGCAGTAGCCAAGGATTTCAAGGTCACCTCTTCTGGATGGGGCTAAAGGAGAGAGAGAGAGAGAGAGAGAGAGAGAGAGAGAGAGAGAGAGATGAAGAATACGACCCATAAGAAATAGAAAAGCTTTGACTGAACTACTGTTGATGAAATATGAAAAAGCCAAATGGGCAAAGTGTTTTGTTTGTTCAGCTGTATTAGAACTAAAACGCCCAGGATTTTGGCCTCAGTCCACAGACAGGCAGTGACTTGTTGCTGCTGAAAGTAAGGGTCAGTTTCCTCACCTCCTCCAACTTCATCCTTCCTTAGTCTAGCCTGTCACATGAACTTGATCCCCATGGCCTCTGACATGATCCAGACAGCCCAAAACCCAGTACCAACACTTTCTCAAAGAGCCAAGCAGTAAAACAAAGAAATAAATGTCTGCTGCTAAATTGCTAACACATGTTCCAGGAAGTCCATGGGGTCCACATTGGTCATGCAGAGACCCTTTCAGTGCAGACTAAATACTGATGGCCTTTCCTGTTCTACTACAGAACTATTTGAAGTTGGAAGATATGACAAAACTGCCACCTAGTGTACATTTACCCACCAAATTGGTCTGCTTATAAGTTCCATGAACTGTTTGTTTAAAGAGAGCCTTGTAGCACAGGTTAAAATACATTGGCTCTTTAGTAAATCATTCATACATTTATCACAATTTTGCTTGCCAATAAGAAAAGCACCGAGTTATTTCATGAACACCAAACCCCCCAACCCCAAATGAAAAAGCTGATTAAAATGAAAACACATACTCATTTTGTTTCTTCACTACTGGTGACAAAAAACAAACATCTTATACACAGGGAGACAGACGGTACTTGAATTCATACAAAGATTGACTGTTCCCAGGAAAGAAACCCACTGCAATGTAATCTAAGAACTAACATTGTTGATTGCTATTTTAAGTTACATATTTTTTAAAAAAAGGTTAAACAAGCAGGGGCAGATCCCTCATTTCTTTGTATGAAGCTGAAGCATATCCTGTAGTTCACAATATAACATGGTAGGTTGAAGTACACTAACAAACAGTTAATCAACTAAAATTAATAGGTAGAAAAATAGCAAGTACTTTTGAAAATAAATTACACATTTTCCAAATTCATTTGAAACCTGCATAAAACCTGAGGGCAACTGTGACTTTATATTTGCCTGGTACCCCACGTCTAAAGTAGAGAGACAGACACAAGTAGTAGAGTATGTCGCTGTTAATCCAGCTGTAAACAGGTATATTTTATGAGCTTTCATTAAATAAATTCCAAAAAGTTACTCAGCAAACGTATTTTTTCATTTAAAAAGTCATCTACTGAAAGCTATAGTGCCTACACTTCGTAACTGTTTCTTGTTACCATACATGGTTGTTTTAAAAGCAGAAGACCAGATTAGTTCTTACATATTCTCTATCTTTACCACTATTGGACTATCAGATTATTAAAGGCCCTTCAATCTAACAGAATGCTACGCGATCCCTTGGGTGTCATTTATTTTCTGCACTAGATTCAACAATGTCCTAATGCAAGACTTGGCTCTCATATTAAAATAAAAACAATCTATACCACTTGCTGTTCTGTAGCGATTTCTTCAGTCATAAATCTCCCGTTAACTGTGGAATGATTCCATTCAGACACATGTGTTCACAACTCCTTTTTCCATTATGGCAATTCCAGATTACAACCATATAAACCAGCATTTTTGATGGCAGAGCCTCTAATTTTCACAAAATGCTATTCTGGCACCTGTTTGTGTGACACAGGTTACATACAACCAGCCCTTTGAGAAAAATTGTCAGAATTACAATGGAGTACTTTTTTCACTGAGGGAGTAATTGATATGAAGCTGTAAGTAATGGCAAGTCATTTAGATTTCAGAAGCTAACCTAACATAACTGCTCTTCAGATTAAATAGTCCTCAGAGAGTAAAATTTATTCCATTGTTGTAGTTTGGCCATGTCTAATTACCTTTGAATTCACATTTTAGATCTTTCACCCATTTCTTGTTCTGCTACTTCATTTGTACAGCAAAGTCATGTTGAGAGTAGGCAGCGTGTGTATAAGAGTTTTACCAATGTGTTAAGAAAGCTGTGGCGTCCCACAGAATAAACCCTAAATATATGTAATTAAACTAAATGCTGCAACAATTAAAAAGAAAGTGAAAAGTATTACAAAGAGATGATGAATTACAAAAGCTGTTTATTTATCTACGTTTGCAAATCAGTGTTAAAACACAAGTAGATTTACACATCTTTTTTGAGATTAATTCAAAAGTATCAACATTTCATTATCAACTTGATTGTGTATTGTTCTATCCTCTCTCCCTACTCTCTCATCAGTTCATTATTAGAGAGCTTAACTTCTTGAAATGATTATATTTATACCACCATGATCTTTAATATTTTTATACATTTATTTGGCTAATAATTACTCTACTCTTTAGTGAAACAATGGTGTGGTTTATGGTAGTAACCAGTTGAATTCATTACAAATGTAAACTCTCTATTTTCTAAATAATCCCAATTTTTATCTCAATTATATTTTTAACCAGAAAAATAAGTTTGCTAATAAAATCTAAAATGAGATTATTAGAGTTCTTGATGATTTAAAAAATAAATCTGAGTTTAAAGAACTTCAAAGCCTGCTTTATTTTAAGATATAATAAAACAAGTGAAAATTCATAAAATTTTGACTTAAAATACAGCAATTCTGCTTGATAATTTGTCACTTTTGCAAGACTATATTTTAAAAAGAATCCTTATTTTAAAACAAATTACATTTGATTTCTCTGTAGACTAAGAATTTCTATTCTTTTTAAATAGACATTTGAAATTTGATTTTTCATTAGCAACTACAATACTATGGTGTTACAGTTTTTAGCCCAATATTAAATGCTATCTGATTAAAACATTTCAGTAGTAATATTATATTCCACACTACTTCACAGTTTAACTTTTTCACTTGACCATTTAAGGCCTGATTCTGTACTCACTTGTGCCAAGATAAATCAGAAGATACTCCACTGAAGTCACTGGAGTAACACCCCCAGCAGTGAAATCAGAGTCAGGCCCTTAGAATATATTTTCAACTCAACATATAGGGATAGCGCTGGAAAATTCACTCTAACACAGAGTAGCATAACTGAAGCAACTCGTACTGAGATGAGAATGTTTTATGCTTCTGTGTTTGTACCACATTTTGAAGTTAGTTGAGATCTAATATGAATTCAGATTATTATTTCAGAACAGAAAGTAAATTATATCATACCAGCCACTTTTATGGTCTTGAACCTCCAATGTTCCCAAGAATTCATCTTAAAGACATCTGCTAACCAGAATTCATGTGTGGAACTCTCCAGCAATATAAAATGGGAGTTTTCCACTATGGCCCTTATTTTGCTAACTATTTCTCCTGCCACTCAGAGTGAGCTAGAAGGCTGATCAATGACAGAGATAATGTGTTTTTCTATGACATTTTCAATACTACTATCGCATTATAATTTCATCATTAGTCTTTATTTAGCGTGTAAGCTCTTCAAGGCAAGGATTGTTTTATAAGTTTATAGTGTCTTACACAATGGGACCACCAATCCTAACTGGAGCTTCTAGGGGCTACCATAATATAAATAATAATAGTGTTTTTTCATAACACATAAAGCCTATAAAGAAAAAAAGTGTGTCAAACTGACTGTGGAGTTAGAAATATAATTTTAAAAATATATTACCCTATGGAGTTATATCTTATGAGATGAGTGTTGTCATCTGTAGGGCACTATAAAGTAACAGAACAGTTCAGCTTGGGGTTGAGAATAAGACAAAGAAGATAAACGAGACGGAAATATGAGACTCGAGAAAATTAATGGCTGACATATTTCCAAGAAACATAATGAAGTACTGCCTCATTGAGGGTATGGTCAGCCTGAGGAATTTACTGCAGCAGGAGGGCAGAGTCAAATATGGTGCATTGTTTTTAAAAAGAAGGCTGGATAGTTTTAAGCAACACTTGTAGGCAGCGTACGCAAATTTAGCATAGGGTTATACACAGAACTCTGTGAACATCAGATTTTTCAGCCTGCTAGCAGTTCTGGAGGGGAGAAAGGAGGAGGAGCATTCTCGGTCAAGCTGACACTGAAAATCTTCAAAATTATCAGCAAATCAAAAAGTAATTGATTTGGATAGAACAAAAACAAAACACTGTTTCAATTTAGGGCATTTTAACCTTTTTTTTAATAAAAGCAAAGGAAATTTGGAAACAAATGGCTAGATTTGCAAAATCAGGGTGGTGGTGATCCCCCTTCTACCAATAGCCCAGAGGTTAGGGCACTGACTTGGGATGTTGGGGCACCCGGCTGCAGCCCATGTTCCAATGAATAATTATTTATACAAAGTGGACCAGCTGCCAAATAAGAGACAGAGAGAGACCTACCCCAGCCAGTGTATCCTACAGCCTGGTGCTCAGGGCCCTAACCTGGCAGGGGCGAAACCTAAGTTCAAGTCCCTGCTCCAGAACAGGGATTTGAACCTTAGGGCTGGTCCACACTAACCCCCCACTTCGAACTAAGATACGCAACTTCAGCTACGTTATTCACATAGCTGAAGTCGAACTATCTTAGTTCGAACTTACCGCGGGTCCATACGCGGCAGGCAGGCTCCCCCGTCGACTCCGTGTACTCCTCTCGTGGAGCAGGAGTACCGGCGTCGACGGCGAGCACTTCCGGGATCGATCCCAGAAGATCGATTGCTTACCGCCAGACCCAGAGGTAAGTATAGACGTACCCTTAGGTGCCCACATCCCAACCAAGTGCCCTAACCAATAGACATGGGTGTAAGAAAAGGGGTGGTACTTGAACTGACAGAGCAACAGTTCATAGATTCCAAAATACTTCCTTTTGAACTAGACAACATCTTTCAAAAGAACACCCGATCTTCATTTCAAAATTGTTCCACTGGTTAACCACTTTCACTATTAGGAAAATTAGGCCTTATTTCCAATCTAAATTTGCCTAGCCTCCACTTC